CATATGGACAGCATATTATTATGCACTCTGGATTATTATGACATTCAAGTACTGTATGTATACACAGCAATGTCACTCATATTTTGGTCAGGGTCTAAAGTTGAAATATTACTGTAACTGGTCAGTGGTCAAAAGTATTAATCATTTTCTTAGTGAAGAAAAATAACATGATGATAGATGGTTTCTTGTTCTTCTTGATTTTTGTTTTGCACCTATGAAATATTTATAATATTATTATTTTTTTATTGCTCTAAATTGTACTAGTGTTCAGAATCTCAGCACCAACACTCTTAAGTCCAGACATTTGACACGTTTCTGCATAATCTATGGTTTCTGCCAATAGCAGTGATGAACACACTCATGTAATGAGCATTAATAAAATTGATCAAACCTTTTATTGGCAATACATAAAAATGAATTGTATTAACCCCTTTCTTGTTGTAAGACACAAGCTTGATCTGTTTTTTTTGTGTGTAATAGATACAATTCAGCTTTAGCAGGGCAAAGTGTACATGTTCCGAAAGGTCAACTTGTCCCTAATTATATGTCTTTCATTCTTTCCAAATGTGTGGAAATGTAGCAGCATTAGTAGTTAAATATAAACATTATGTAAGCTTGTGAAATTGTCCTTTATGGAATCTGGGCATAGCTGGAATGAAACTAGTTTGTGCTGATCCATGACTTACGACTTATGCAAGGTTCTTGATTGTGGCGCTTGTGTTCTGATATTTATCATAAGAAAGAGGAAGCTGCAATTCAGAAAATCACATTGGTATCTCCCAGGAAACACGTGATTCAATGTCATTTACAGCAGACAAATACATTATCCTCTCCTCACATTATCATATTGTGAGCTACCTGTGGTTAACATTGATCCTCCTGCTGTATCCAAACAAATTTAACTGTTTTCCAAGTTCTTTACAATCAGTAGTCACTATACAGTAAGTGAAGCGCTTCATCGCTCGTGGGGCACAGTTTTGGTTCAGATACAGGGAAACTGTATACACAGACAGCAATCCACTCAGACTCATTGGTTTAACAATGACATAGTACCTCTCCAAAAAAGGTTATTGCTGTACACCAGGTGTGGCCAAACTATTTCACTATTTCCAAATGCAGTGTGCTTTTTGTTGTCAAAGGATTTTACTGACAAATATATCTACATTTTATCCATCCATCCATCCATTTTCTTCCCCTTAATCCATTTCTGGGTCAGGGGGGTGGTAGTCAGAGATGCCACCCAAGTCTCATAGCACCAGCCCCTCACTGACCCTCTGCAGGTGGTGAATCCACAGGAGGGCGGCTGCTCTCTGAGTGTGAGCATAGCCTTGATCTTTCAGTGGGGGCTTTGGGCAAAGTGAGGTTAAGTGTCTTGCCCAAGCACACACCGACAGCAGTCATCAGTGGGAGTCGGTGGAGAAGGTGTAGAGGTGGGAATTGAACCCACGACCTTCAGGCCTGAAGGCCAATGCTCTACCAACTGAGCTACTGTCGCCCCCCATCTACATTCTATTTAACCCAAATTAAATTTGGGTTCAATGTTTAGAATAAATCATAAATTGGCTGTTTTGAGAACATTTGCTTCAAAATAATGTGTAATTTCATAGCAGCCTATGGCAACAATTGTTGCCATGCTGATTGTTCATAATGGTTTGGGGGCTTCACTCTGATAAATAAAAATTGAAGAAAACAAATGCAGGGGCCTGTGTGCTACCCTTTCCATTTAGATGACACGTATATTAAAAACCTGAAGCACCAAAATAATGGAATTTTCATGGGTCCCTCAGGAACCGACAAAAAAAAGGGTCCATTTGAAGGTGGAGCCATTTTACAGTGTCCAGTGTCTTACAAACGTGTTGGGATATGACCTGACTACATATAGTATAGTGGCCAATTGAGACACAGATATTCAGTGCTACCTGGAGGTGCACTTCTAACAGCAGCCTGTTCTCCAAGGCTCAAATGAATCTGTCCATACAGCTGGCCTCAGCAAACGCTGGCTCATTTCAAAGACCTTTTATAACAAGGATCACAGGGACCCTAGAGCTGCGGAATCAATGACTGCTCACCCTGATATCTGAAATACGGCCATAAAACAAGCCCACAAAGTCACCCATAGCACAAGAGTGGAATCACTGACCAATCCAACCAAAAAATATAATTTGGGAGAGCGAGCTGTGACTTAGTTTTGAGTGAAGCAGACCATCAGCTCAGAAAATTATATTTAACCAAGCTATTTGTTGAAGTGATTTGTGCTTTGTTATCTTGTGTGTTCTGAATTGTGGACACAAAATCTCCCCTACACTTTCAACCCAGTCATTGATTATCCAGTTATTGATTACGGATCTAGCTGTCATAGTATTGCTTGAATGTTGACTTACAGCCTTGCCTTAGGCCCCGATTTTGGACGGAGACGATGCAGCAGTAAAAAAGGGTAGTTGGGTATCGAGTGCCACCTTCGTTCACTTGGAGACTGTGTTCCAGGGGGACGAAAACGTAAATGTTAAGATCAGTCTACAGAGTGGGACAGCTCAGATACGCTGCTCAACAGGCAGAGAATTCACCTGCGTGAAGAAAGAGGTGTGACCAATGAGAGCTGCTGATCAGAGCGGCGTTAGAGCTGGAGTTAGAGCGGGAGCCAAACAAGCAGAGTTTGTGGAACTAAAGTGTGGATTTAAAGAAAACCGACGGATTTAAGAAGAAAGTTCAGGATGACACTAAAATCCCCACAAAGTCTAACCTTTGTGAAAGCTGTCGGTTCTCTGTCAGCTGAGGTCGAGCTGTTTTAGTTTACTTTGAGTTCTATGGGGAATATTTCTGGGCAGCCTACGTGAATTTATTCTCGTTTAGTCTGCAGTACCGCAAGATGCTGGGGGTACACTAACTAGCTACGTGTGCTTTGAGTGCCACACTGAATTCTACTCCTACGTTTGTCCAAAAAAAACTGCCCATAGCTGTAGAGTCATAAAACAACACAACCTTAGTCAAAAGAACAACAAACAACAAGTGCAGCCACAAAATTGCAAACTTGCCACAAAATTGCCACAAAATTGCAAAACTCTATTCCGCATAATCTGCTACAACTACATGAATGTAAGATGCCAATTTTGTTCAGGTTAATGCCGCAAACTTGACACTGCAAGCGTAATGGCTCAAGTTGATGTGAACCATGAGTGAGCCGTGTACAGTACATCACTTGAGTACTGAACTATATCAGACTTCGTATATAAAGGCAATCGTTGACAAAACATTTTGACACAACTCCTCCGCTGCGTTCTGAGACCTGCCATGTTACATATTAAGCACTGGCCAAAACCATTATTATGGCCATTGACGTTGAAAACATTGAGGTTCAATAATAATTATGTATCAAAGTAATGCATATGTGGAAACAGGCTCTTTTTTAATACATGTGCACTACACTAGCATTGTCCCAATGTGGAGTTGTCAGGGTCAGTTCCAAGTGTATACAGTATATTATGTACAGTACAGTACAGTAAGTATTTAATAGCTTTACTGTACAATAATAAATGTTCTAGTCTCGTCTACAGCATGTTTCCAAAGTCCTTTTCCACCTTATTGTCTGTGCACTTCTCACCAGACGAGCCTAATCCTGCCATCAAGCGGCACTCTAGATAGCCCATGGCCTGGGGCATGGGGTGTACTGGTATGTGCTCAGCAACACTAGCTGCTGCGAGGCTGAGAAAGTTATGGTCTGTGAGAGACACCAGGGTCAGTAACAAAGACCTAGTTGATGGAAAACACAATGTGAGAGACATCTGTATCTCACTCTCAATATAATATGATTAAACGGGCTGTAGTCAGACTACTTCAAGTCTGTTGTAAGTCATTGAGGGCGTTTACAAAGCACCAGTAAGAAACAAATACTCAACCTACTACAATTTAAGTAACTAGATAAAGATGCATATACACACTTGACTGAAATCCAGTCTGTTTGGAGGAGCTTGCATGAACGCACGTCAATCGGATTGAAATGAGACAACAGGCAGTCATACATTCTAGTGTACTGGGAAAAGACACGCTTATGAACTTGATGTGTTCATACAGGAGACTCACTATGTTTTTTCGGAATCAAGACACAGTGATGCACGTGTTTTATTTTGTTTTGCGTAGCGAAAGCAAATCATGAAGGGAAATTCAATGATTTAGGTTGCAGCAGGTGTGACAATCGAATGCTTAAAGTAAACATAATGGCGTGTGATTACCTTTGCTGACCATGCACCATTAACTTATCAACTATCAGTTACAAAGTTTGAGTAATAAGGCAAAGTTACGAGTCACCTTTAAATGCATCTGGAGCCTTGAGCGGCTTTTCCACAGGGGGCAAGGAGACAAACCCAAAACTCGCTACACTGGTTCTGGACTAGAGTGCTGACTTTCCACTGCGCTAACTGTTCTTGTAGCTTCTGATTTTCTCTCATTGTGGAGTGCTCAGGGTGGATGTGTGGACGGGCTACTGTTGCTCCGCCTCTTGTCTGACTAGCTCCATTGATCTGGCTCTAATCTAGTTTTGGCTTCCTGACAGAGCTCACTTCCCTCAGGCATTAATTATGGCTCCATGTGATTTATCAGTGGTTCCAGCACACAGCACTGTCCTCTGCCTAACCCAATCGCATTCACGTCTATGGCCCGCTGCTGTTGCTTTCACCCAATCAGATATATTGAGTATGTGATGCAAGTGTTTCCTCTGGCTTACTCCCCCTTAGAGCTACATCACCCATCTGTCCTGCACACCATGTTTTAACGTCCCTCTGTGTGAAGTTTTCATTGAGGAGTGGGACATGCCAAGGTTTTTTTTTTTTTACTTCTGGATAAAGGTTGCTTGAGATTACAATGGGAGCAACTGCAGGCTCGGATTGATTCATGGATTATTACCTTCAAGAACATTGTACTATCTAATTTGATTGACATTAGTTTTATTTAATTCTCTCCTCTGAAGTCCTGGTGTGAGCATTTGAAACAGAGCCCAACCTGGCAGCATGACATTTGCACTTACAAGGCGTTGGGAAAGCCTAACCAGCAGCTCCACGCTGAGCTCTCCGCTCCACGGAGGCAGCGTCCCAAACCTGCTGGCTCCTCCCCGGAGTGAGCGCCACGGGTCCCTGAAGAAACGCCTGTCAATGGAGCTGCTAAAGAGCTTGGCCCCGGACCTGAGCAGCCTGAAGAGCCAGGTGAAGTGGCCCTCCGTGGGGAGTGTGTACAAGTGGAAACAGACGCTGACTGACAAGATGAAGTGGAGGCCAAGCTCAGAGGACAATTTACAGGTGAAAGGCTGTCACAACCGGAGGTCAATAGGAAGTCGCTTAGAGTTAAAGCCTTTACTTCAGTTTTTGAGGCTGGGTTACCTAACTTCTTTTGTTTATAAAACATATGTTTGGTAAAAGTAAATGTTGTGAACAAGACAGAATAAAACATTATACTTTTCTTTTAAGAAGAAAGAGATGCGAGTCATTGTTTGACTCACAGCTGGGCTGAGAGTGCAGGGTGGTGAAAATCAAAACATGTGACAGAGGCCAAATATACATGCAACCAGCGATAGAACCAAACTGTTTTGAGAGATAGAAACTTTTTGTATAGATTTTTTTATTTGTGGTCTCAAAGATGGGTTTCCCACCAGCTTTAGGTCCTGGCTCTAAAACAGTTGCGTTCCATCACTCGCTTGCACATGTATTTCCTGTCCCAACTTTAGATGCACTTTGTCGGACCGTGATCAAGATAAAGACATGTCGTGGTCTGATTTGTAACTACATGGATTTCTTTACATGGTTCAATGTAATGAAGCCATAGTTAGGTTCCCCAGCTTTAAGTCAAAAATACAATAATTATTTAACATAGAGCTTTTATTTTAGTCATTACTGATTTAGTTCAAACCCAATCTTGGCTGGAACTAACCATTAATCCCGCTATTGGCTTAGATTAATAAGGATTACGTTCTTGGGTAGTCATCTGAAAAATGCTAAAACAACTATCATTCTTCAACGCTTGAAAAGTAGATGTTTGCTCTGGAATACTTTCAGAATTAAAACGCCAGACATATTTAAAGAAATGTTCATTAATATGCACTGTCCCTGTAATGAATCAATAAATATTGCAATCAATTGAGTTCACTTGGCAACATCAAGTTAAGAATGTGCTGTAATTTATTTCCAAGGTCTTTTCAAGTATACTTTACTCGTCAGGGTTTGCAGCAGCTGTAATTGATAACAATGCATTCCCATCATTTAAACCATATTGATTGTCACTAGTGAAAGTAAGTCAAAGTGCAAAAGGCTGCAGGTCAGAAGGTCCTATTCAACACTACAATGACCATTATGTTTCAAGGCTGCATAGATATAAAAGACATGCCATTCTCAGGCCTGAGTGATTATATCCTGCTCATTTCTCATGCGCAAATTTAATTAGAAACGCAGCACTCGACCCCATGGCAGGTTACTCAGATTTATACAGTTCATTAACAGAGGATAATTCCTGTTAAAACTTCTCCCCACTTTGGTTAATGGAAAAAGCAGAGCCCTTATCGGTCAAAACAACTGTTATTAGCTGAAAATTATGCTAAAATATCTGTCTGTGGCTTTACTTTTTAAGCCTCCTGAACAACATTATTAAAATCATTTGTTTCCCACTCGTACTATTGCAATACTTGCCTTTTAGATTACGTACAGGTGAAAATTGGAATATAATTTCAAAAGTGCATTATCTTCTTTTGTTCAAGTTACAATATTAGACTCATATATGATACGCAAAGTGAGATATATCAAGATTGTATTATTGTATTGTTTTAATGTTGATAATTATGGCTCAAAGCTGGATTAAACTGAATAAAACATGTCAGAAGATTAGAATTAATCAAAAATGTGCTGTAAGCCGTGTTCATCAAAACAAACTGAGGCATTTGTCATTGTTGTGGAATTTCTGCACAGACCGAGCGCAAAAATAATGTAAACAACCAAGAGCTGTAAAACAATCAAAGTGTGAGTTTATTCATTAGTAAATGTGCACATATACAATGAATAACAGAACCGATACCACCTGCAGCCGTCTGAAACCGACTGCCACGTATGAGGAAATTACGGACATTAAATAGACCACAAAGACATATCTACTCTAGATATTACATAAATGAAGTCAGTATTGATATGTGTCACTCAAGGCTTCTCTTCACGCTTCCTTACGCTGATACAACTCTGATACTCGTAAGAATCTGCTTTGACCTGAACACATTGTTCTTCGGTCCAGATATTGCCGAAAACATGTAGAAACACGTCTCATATCTATCACTGACCTGCTGCCAACAGACCATATGTGCTGTATTTGAATCCAAAGTTAGACTTCAGATTGCTTTACTATAAGATTTCTGTAACATCACTTTATAATAATGATAATAATAATAATAATGTGAAGCCCCCGCTGAAAGATCAAGGCTGTGTCATGACTGACAGAAGCCATCCTCCCGTGGACTCACCACCTGCAGGAGGATCAGTGAGGGGCTGATGCTCTGTGTACTGGGTGCAGCTCTGACTGCCACCCCCCCGACCAAGAAATGGATTAAGGGGAAGAAAATGGATGGATAATAATAATGCATATATTTTTTGACACAGACAGTTCACATGTCATTATTCTTTCACTCTGTATACGTTGAGAAACTGTTTCTGTAGCCACAGCTGCCCTGAGAACACAGTGACAGAAGGGAGGCAACCAGTATGTGCCATCAGCCCCTTGAACCACCATCAACCATTTGCACTCACACCATATTCCTTCTAGGCAATGTAGGTGAAGTGTCTTGCCTAAGGACACAAAAAGGCACTTTCACATGCAATAAGTCCAGGGTTCTCACCAGTGCTCTCTGAACGACTGAGGTCTCAACGCTGTGATTTCAAATTCGACTTGTGTTTTAACCATTGGGGGCGGGTCCCGGCTCAAAAATGTCCAAAGAGAAGTGCGCTGACATGCTTGCAATACCACCCCGGGCCGATGGGGGTGGACTCGGAATAAGAATTAGTAAATGTTTACGTATAGCATCTTCTTACTTTTCAAAAACGTCTCTACAGGATGAACCCAAAGTCAGCTCTTGGCTCAAAGCTACGTTCCACATGTGTGTCAATGCTGAGGCGAGTGTATTTTTTTGGACCACTCTATTTAAGTCGCTGTGGAATTTTGAGGCACTCGTTAAATGACCGGGGCCCATGCCGGCTGACATATGTGCAAATGCGTTTTTTCACATTTTCCAGCCTCCACGGGCATTTTTAAACCGCTCACAGACTGCGAAAGTGGTGGCACAGTAGTTTCAACGACGTAGCGTGACGACCTCTGGTAATATTTACAGTCTATGGTTTTAACCAGTGTCGGGAGGATTCCACTTTTCTGATTATCAACAAAATGTCCAAAAAAAAATCCTGTCAAGAACCCTGGAGATAATATCCTTTAGTGGTTTCATATGTTAAGTTGAATTTCAGAAATAAATGAACTTTTGAACAATATTCTAATCTAAGAGTTTCAGCTGTAGGTCATCTCAAAAGCTAGAAAATAAATTTGTATTCATCTCCACGTGACATGACTGAGGTTTGAGATAAATAATTCACCTGACAAGGGAGATTAGCGCATGAATATTTGATCCTCTGTGACATTTTCTTACATACTATGAATCATTGTTTTGCGGTTAGCAGAGGTTAGCAGTGATCCTCATAATAAGACGTTGACACATTTTGAATGCAGACGGGGAGTTCTCTGTCAGTCTTCAGAGCTCGTGTGAGGAAACGTACACCAACGTCTTCTATACGTTCTGTTCGGGTTTAAGGTTTTCTTTGTGTGATCTTTCTGAAGTGAGGACATGTTTTCAGTGGTAGGGAAACCAGAGCGCCCAGAGGAAACCTGCATAGACAGGCCTTGTCTGGCCATGTATCACACCCAAGACCTTGCTGACAGTGAGTGCTGAGAGCAACCAAAATTAACTATATAGATTCCCCACTACAACAGATAAAGCTTCACTCTTTTGTATTGGATTCAATTTTGTTTTATTTTCTCCTAACATAGTTTTATCGTAGGGATATCACGATGTCTAGCATGAATGAGGTTTTCAATCACTATATTGTAAGTCTTTAACAGCCAATTGGTTGAGTGAGGGCCAGTCCTAAAGAAGCTGATCTAAAGATGTGATAGAAGCTAAAAAAACATACAGATGAAAACTATAGGGATATAGCTAAACTGTTTTAAAGTGTTGTTATCTCCACTAATGGGGACTGTTGGACAGGCTTCCATTATTGCAAATATGAATTGGATTGTAGCTTGTCCATCCATGAGAGTGGATCCCTTTCTCATAAAAGGTCACCCTGAGGTTTCTCTTCTTCATTTACTGGGTTTCTCCTTGCCCAGTGCAAGTGTGACTGATCTAACTGGTCACATTTGCGGGATGAATGTTTGTGCTTTTAGGTTTTCACACATTGCTGCTCTTGTAATAGCTTATATCACCACTCTAATTACATACCCTATTTATCGAGGTGCAAAGATGCCGTAATGGTCCTGCTTTCTGAGCTTGGTACTAACAGTTTCGAGTTTATTTGCAAATATGGTGTTGTTTATGCTCCTGATTATTAGTCACGGTTCGGTTTGGCTGTGTTTTAAAGGAGATATATCATGCTGAGTTTACTTTTTTGAGTTTTTAACCGTGTTACAACAGAAATGCCCTCAAAACAAACAAAAAAACCTGGAGATGTTTTTAGATCCATCCATACTAATATCAGTAACTACTGGTACAAGCACGCAATTCCGCCCCTACTATCTAGAAGCTCCTGTCTCAGCCGTGCAGTAATATGACGCTCAGAGTAAAAACAAAAGCATTGGCCATAAATACATATTGGCAATTTCTCTAGTGAAATCATTCCAAAGAAAAAGAACAAATGCTACTCTTCCTTCCTGTAGTAGCTAGGGATAGGGCACACCGTTAGCATTATTTACCCTTGATACTTGTTTCACCATATTTTCAAGTGAATATACTGTATGGGTTCGCATTCTATAACATGACATGACTGAAGTAAATAGTCTCATATTTTGTAATGGCCAAAAATAGTGTGTAATATGTCTTCTTTTCAAATAAAATCCATCCATCTATATCTATGTATCTATCATATACTGTATATATAGACTCATTCTTCCTGTTCGTGCATATTCAATCGGCCGTCTGGACCAGGCTAAATCAAAGACACACTCCTCCAAAGTCAAGCTGCTCTCTGGGATCCACGATTACGGCACGCGCACGTAGCTGCATGTTTGTATTTGGGCTAATGCAAGATCAAACAGGGCAGTCTCTTTGTCTGTCTGTCTGACACAGGTTGACCGTGGCATCAGGGAACAGCACACTGCTCCAGATGGCCCGTCCATTCCAGGGTCACTTTTCACTTTGCCTCTGTTTAGTACAGGGAGTGTTTTTGCAATTTACAAATCAATTCTTTCCTTAAGCTTCACCGACTTGTCACTTTATGGACTGTGTGAATGTGCCAGGACTGAATGGTGCTGTAGGGAAGTAACTTGTGCAATATCATTGTATTTAGCAAATGCAATACATTTCTTTTATTTTTACCGCCGTACTTTTACATAAATTGAATGACTTGTATCTGTCTTTTTATCCACGTATCTATTGTATATAGTTGAATGTTTTGGTCAAAAAAACAAATGGGTTAGGCAAATTGACAATTAAACACATTTTGAAGATCCCAACTTTTTTAAATGATTAAATCCATCCAAACCACTGATGTTTATTCATCAAACTGATTTTCCTCTATTGTGAGATAATAAAGTCAATCGCATCTCTCTCTCATCTTTTTCTGCTTTTTTAGACGGAGATAGGACCACCCTCTCTTGGCCAATCAGCATTAAATGGTGCCTCACAGGGCTGTTCCTTACAAGTGTGCAAAATATAACATGTTTCTACTGAGATGCTTTTGTACTCTCTGTGTTATTATCCCTGTAGGCGCCACGGTTGACTTAACTCAACAATAGACAATACGCGGTTCTGTTTAAAACGGCCAATTGTGTCAAAATTCCTTCAAACTCCCGCCACACATTTTTTAGCAGTGTTTTACTATATTTCCCTGAAACCCTGTGAGTTCTGTCTGTGTTCATGTCCTAGAGATCTAAAAAAAAAACGTGTATATTTTATGAAAATCCACGATTGCCACGCCCATATGACATCATGATATGCAAATGAGATGGTTACATTTAATTCCTACGTCAACTTTGGGCCGTCCTTATCATTTTTCTAATTTACATAAAGCCTCCATCTCTTCTAACTTTTAAGAAATTACAATAAGATGTCAAAATTGAACCTCAGGAAACAACCTCTGGCGCCTAAAGGGTTAATGAAGGTGCAAAGTAAGGTTCCCTAGTTTTAATAAAATTATTTAGTTTTAGTGCTTTCAACACTATTCCAGTTCAGTTTGATATATGTATATTTACAAATACATAATTTGTTGTGATGGTTATGATGCACCTCATTCCCCCAGATTTTTAACAATTACTACCTTTTTTTTGTAATTGCAATATTTCGTTAAAGTGGACAAATTACACTGTTGTTACGCCGCTGTTGAGAGGTTCAGATTGAAACTGAACAGTGCCCTCATGTGGTACATGACAGACATTACATGCTACAAGCTTTGCTCCATCCTTCACTCGTCCATATAAGGAGATATTGTTAGTGTTTTCAAATATTTAGCCACTTTTACAATTCTCTTTGATTCGTGTATCTACGGCAGCCCATCCCATCGTCCTCTATCTTCTCTCATAATTTTCTTGAGGTACGTATGCATCCTGTGATCTCAATGTCGTCCAGCCCAAAGTCATGGTTAATTGCCCTTTCATCTAGATCCTCTTTTATAGTCCATCGTTCAGGAGGAGCCTGCGTTCCACAGTGACAAAGGCTGTTGTGGCTGAAAGCTGCTCCACTGAGAGCACTCAACCTGCCACTATTGGATTTTCCCATCTCCAGATTGAGTCGGGGGTCAAATTGTAGCCTACCCGAGCTGACTTACAATGGCATATAGATAGATAGGCCGGTACCTTCATGAAACAAGTTTGCTCTCAACTATAAAAACTACGATGTTATGAGGGCTGGTAAAGCACAGATGGTGTTTGTGCTGCAATGCTTGTAATTAACTTGATGAATATACAAGTTTGAATGCCAGGGTAAGAAACAAGCTCTAGCAGTCGGTGCATTGTAGTTAAAAAGCACTTCCATGAGTTACGAAGGGATTAATAATCAGGGCATTTTTCATAATATTCATTCATACACAAATCTGTGAATAGTCAAAAGTTTCCTAAAGAGCTTCTATAACAGGACTTTTAAAACTTTTTGGGCCAGAGTCTAAATCACAGTTTTGACTTTTATATTTTTTCCTATGATTTGTAATTTATTATTGATTGTATATAGGGATTGTTTTTGCATTATTAAAACCAGAGATTTCCTTGACTGACTGACTAAACTTATCCAGTCACTATTTGTTCTTCTTTAATCCATCGATCTTCGGTCAGATTTTGGTGCGTTTCAACTCCTAATGAATTTTAAAACCAAACAAAACTCGGTATATCGTCCAATGTGGCCTATTACTTTCGGCGTATGTATCTTTAAAACTTAAACTTTTATAATGGGGTTTTTTGAATCTTTTGTGTTTTCATTTTAGGATTTGAATGTTTTTGATTTTTTTAGAGTATAAACTTTATATTGGTAAGTTTTTATACTTCTTACTCTTGTTTAGTATGGCTGTACTTTTTAACACTTCTAACATTTTCCGTGCTTTCAATAGAAACTTATTTTGTTTTCAACTCTTTTAAAAGGTGTTATTTTCAGAAATTCTTTCACTTTTCTGATCTTTATAGCGGTGTGACTCATCAATTACTTTTGGTACTTCTACCTTTTATAGTGATCGCAAAGTTGTACTTTTTCCTAGATTTTTTCTTGGGACTTTTTTATAGTTCTGATTATGTGTGTTATGATAGGGGTGTAGCAATGTAATGTGGGGGTAACGGTGTATAATGGAGTAACGGTGTAATGGGGGGTAATGGGGGTAACAGTGCAAAGGGCGGTAATTAGGGCTTAATGTGGGGTACCAGTGCACAAATATCACAATTGGTGATTCAAAACATGTCTCTTTCATTTCATGCAATAGCCTAAGGATCTGAGTTATAATAACCTGCACTGTAAAAAAAAAAAAAAAAAAAATAAATATATATATATATATATATATATATATATATATATATATATATATATATATATATATAATATATATATATATATATATAATATATATATATATATATATATATATATATAGGCTTGATATCACTTAACTTGAAAGACAAGAATATACTTTCTCACATTGGATGCGTAACATTGATGTTAAATTTTGCGTGAATGGAAATAAGACTGCAGCTTCCTCTTCAAATGTCTTTGCAGTGTATAATCCTGCATCATCCCGTCACCTTGTTAATTACAGTACTGTGTACATCCCATGCTCTGGGACTCTAGAGTTCCTGTGTTAGAAGTTTTTTTCCCCTCTTGTTCGCCCTGATTGTTATGCGCAAACATGCAATCTCTCATCCTTTTTAACATGCACACACACAGCTGCAGCACAGGGCAGAGGCAAGAGGAGCAGAGAAGTGCTCATTGTGGAAGAGCACATTGTCGGCAGTCAATGGGGTGCAGGGGGGAGAGCTGCATTGTTTTTGTGTCCATAAGACTCGCTGCTCTGTTGTAATATT